AAGCTTTACTTGCATCCCAGACCATTGACATTGATGTTCCCTTGTTCATATTTAAAGTAAAATATTCCTTTAAACATTCCTTTAATTTATGAACATTTTTTTCTTGTTTAAATAAATTCTCATTCACCCTCCAGGATCTCCTATCTTCTTTCTCTACAAACAGTTCCATCCAAACTGGACTATGATCGGACAATGTCCTAGGAAAAATTTTTACATTCTTCACCCTGTTGTATAAATCTGTTGTGATCAAAAAGAAATCAATTCTTGAGAAAGATTGGTGTCTATCTGAAAAAAACGTAAAATCCTTTTCTTCTTGATTACGTTCACGCCAATAGTCTCTCAATTCCCAATCTTCTTTCATATCAAAAAAGGCTTTAGGTAATTTAGCCTGTTTAAAAAAGGTAGAAGAGCCTTTTTTGTCCATTTGTATATCTAAGACACCATTCCAGTCTCCCATTAAAATCACAGATCTATAGTCCAACAAAGTTATTTTCTGATGTAGTAACCTATAAAATTGCTCCTGTTGCTGGTTTGGTGCATACAACCCCACAATAAGAATTTTCTTGCCATATAAACCAAGTTCAAGCATAACATATCTTCCATAAGGATCTGATTCTAACAAGGTAGCAGATAAATTCTGTTTAACATAGATTACCACACCCCCTTTCTTCCCAGGGGCGGGAGATACAAAATGAGATCCCAAGCGAGGATTATTTAAATATTTTTGATCTTTAGCTGTAATATGAGTTTCTTGCAAGCAAATAATATCATTGTTATGTTGTTTCAAATAGTGGTAAATTTTTTTTCTCTTTTGAGGAATGTTTAATCCATTAACATTCCAGGACAGGAGCTTTGCCATCTCCCTTGGCCTTCAGCCTGGAGAAGATCCGCTCAAATTCTGCTGCTGATGAATATGTAGCAGAGCTTTTGGGTCTTGCTCCTCCCACCGGCACTGAAGCAATTTGCTGAGTAGATTCTTCAATTTCTTTTTCTTTTTCTTTTTTCTGTTGTTCTTTTTCTTTACGTTTATGTGCTGCACGGGTCATTCTCTGTTCTTTAACTTCTGGTTGAGACATCCATACCACCTGTCCAGCAGTCATCATCCCTGTACCTTCAGATTTCTGTTCCATCTCTTTGTCACTCAAGACTTTATGCATCATGGGCAAAGGAGAGCCTGCTCCCAGGACCATTTTATAAAATTCCTTAGCTTTAGCAACTGTATTAAGTCTATAACGTGTCCCCGCATGGCTCAAAACAATGCCCATCGGAATCTCCCATCTAAATGGCATTTGTCTTGCTTTAAGTTCATTTACCAAAAAAGCAAAATCTTTTCTGCTTCTTAAAATTTTAGGTGGAATTTCCTTTAAAATAATAATATCTTGGGCAGCAATCTGAAATCTTTTATTATAAAAAGTTTGTAGAATCTGATTTCGCAAAGACTTCTTAGCAAAATATATCACCACATCTCTAGGCAAATTCCTCTGTTTTGCAATCCAAGAATTAACTCTATAAATTCTTTCCACATCCCCACGTAACTCTTCTTTATCAATATTCAAAATAACAGCCAAGTCATTAATCACCATTTCCATCAAATCTTGAGTTTTATCTTCTTTCAGACCCCTTATTCTCAAAGCATATTCCATCTGTCTATACTGGAACATAAGAATATCATCTTGTGAAGTCTCCACTTTTTTCTCCATATCTTGAAATTTATAATCCAAAAGTTCAACTGTTTCTTCAATTTCCTCTACTCTGGAGTCCAGCTTCACAACCACTGAGGCCATTCCAGATAGAGCTAGAAGTATATCATCCCTCAAAATAGCATTATTCTGTTCTAAAAGCTCCTTCATCTCTTTCTTCATTTCCTCCTTAGTTTCAGATTTATTCTGGTCCAAAAGTTGTTTCATTTCCTCCCTAAACTGTGAGACAGCACTTACCATTATTTCTTTAATGTCTTGTGCTGATGTGCCAGATGGGGGAGGTGAAGGTGGAGTAGATTTAGGTTGCTGCACTGAGGGTATTATTTTAAGTTGTTGTTGCACAGTAGAAGTAGCAGGAGAAGAAGTTACTTTAGAAGCTGCAGTAGCTGGTTGTCGTTTTGAAGCCATTTTAATTTATCTTCCTTTCTTCTTAAAAATACCGATAAAAATAAGTAATCCAAAAAAAAAATTAAAAATAAGATAAAATAGAATAAAATAAGATCAATCTAAAAGTCACCAAGAATAAAAAAGTAGAAAAGTAAAAAAAAAGCAGTATTAAACAACAATTCAGCCGATCCGTCTTTTAAAGGAAAAAACTTTCAAAACGCCATTTTACTTTCACTCTCACTTTTCCGCCCAAAAAAAAAAAAGAGAAAGCTCAAAAAAATAAAAAAAAATCAGCACATACTAAATAAACTAAATAAACTAAAAAAAAATAAAATAAAGCTAAACTATAAATAAAATCCTTTAAACAGTTCTGTCCGGTTTAAGATTACTCACGGTTTCTTTAAGTACGGAGATGGTAGCGGCGTCTCGCTTTGTTTCCGAAGAAACAAAGACAGCTGAGAGGCGGAGAAGGCAATGAACTCCGAGGGAACCCTCTTTCTACCCCCCTAAAAATAAAAATCCAGGGAGAGTTAAGAGGTTCTACCTCTATTCATGCGATCTCTACCCCTTCCCTTCGCCCGGGAAGGGGATTGCGAGCCGCGGGCCAGCTGGTAAACGCTGTGCTCCGCGGATCTGACACCTTCTCAGGAGGACGGCTACAAAGTAGCCGCCATCTCCACCGCTTTAACCACCGGAAGCCACGATGGTGCATTTCTTTATTCCTCACAAAGGGTGACACCTCCTCAGCATGCACCCAAGGGGCGGGACCGACATGGCAGGGGCTGGTTCCTCGCTGTTTCCAGATGGCCTTGTGAACCTAAGATTGAATGCATGTCAGCATATATGGCCACCACAAAATTGTACATTGGCTCCTGGCCGGCCTGGGCCAGGGCCAAGGCAGTGGGAGCCGTTCCCTCACTGTTTCCAAGATGGCTTTGCGGGCCACATGAAACCACTTCGCGGGCCGCATCCTGCCCCCGGGCCTTGTATTTGACATGTCTGTAATAGACCTTGCTGAATCAGGTAATATGATCCTGACTTCCACTTTTTCTGCTATGTTCGGAACCAATTCCAGTTCCCAAAGATGCAAAGGAAGCCCAAGGCAGAGCACATTCCAACAATTGGATCTAGATGCAACTAAGGCATATGTCACCATAGCCAGACAGGATCTTATCAAAAATAGATGCAGCGGCTGTTCACGCCGAGGTGATCAAAGGCATCTTGGCTACACCTTTCAAGTAAGCCCACATTTCTAGCAAGCTGAAGTATGGGCATGTGACAGGTTGCTTATAGGGCAAATTCAACATGTGGAGATGTTTGGTTGTATGGCTGAGGCTTCAGATAAGAATGTATGTTACAATATGAAATATCAATGGTAGACTAAAGAGCAGGGCTTTTTTTCTCATAGAACGCCCAGAACGGATTTCCGGCACCTTTTTTCGATGAAATCTTGTAGGGTAGGCAAGGCGGGTTGTATGACATGTGTGAGTTCTGGCACTTTTTTTTTTTTTTTAGAAAAAAAACACTGCTAAAGAGACACAGTTGGCAACTAGCTCTGGGGACTTAACAGAATGTATAGGCACAAAAGCAAGTGAGAGCTGGCATAGCACACACTTGGGAATGGAAAATTGTAGTTTGGGTATGAATGAATGATGTGAAAGGAAACTCAAAATGGACAATGGGTTCGGAAGAAGGCAAGTTATTCTTGCAAGACAATTCAGGAATCTCCTGCCCTAGTGGAAGACCATTGGATATCAAACCCAAGTATAACTGTGTGATACTTTTTGAAGACTTTATCTTTGTGAAGACAGTCTTGCCTTTTTCCATGATTTTTTAAAATCAATGTTATTTAATTTGTAGGACCTTAACCCAGAGACATGTTGTGCCAATATCTGCTCTTTCTCAAGTTATAACTCACAGTGCATATATTAAAGAAAACCACCAAAATAAAATGCATTATGTTATGGGGAAATCACTTCCGTGCACATCTATTTAAAATTTTAAAAATTAAATAATAAGACAAAGGATGGTGAATTGAGATACTAAAGTGAAGCATAGTACCCTTTATTGCCAGGATTGAACAAAGAACGTAGAACTTTGCATACTTACATTGATTAAATATGTGAATAACCAGCTGTGTAACACACCAATGAGTAGAAGTTCATTCCAGTTCAAAATCTACAAATACATGATCACTGTAACCACACTACTTCCACTAGAGATGATTCATACGTTTAACTGCTAGTCCTTAAGGAAGGATTCACTGGGTGATGTTTGTCGGTTGAACCTTCATATTTATGTCTCATTGATTTTGTAGGATTAACTTAGCTATGTTGTGGTACGAACTAGTGACAAAAATTTAGGCTGAGTCTCTCCTTCCCCTGATTCTTTGCCGTTTGCCAAGCTCTGCCATGGGAATGGCTGCCGAGTGATACAAAGATTGCTGGTAGTTATGCCATGTGCAGGTTTTCATACTTTACATACCTTTGAGTCCTGGACATGCATTCTCACCATACTTGCTTTTACCCTTTGAATATTAGAGACCGATATAAAGCTGCAAAGCTTCATTTTCAGATGGCTGCTTTTGGTTTGTGTTCCTGTGTCTAACTACCCTTAACACAGACTAGCTTGCTGCAGGTGTGAAACAGGAAGCTGTACTGAAAGAGACAAAAGAGCCCAGTAGTTTTTCTCTAGGAGCTCCACATGAATCAATTTTAATTACAGCATGTTATGCTTCAGCTCCTGGCTTTCCCATTTGCTATGTGGCGAGCATGTTTGAAAGATTGCATTCTATAGCAAGCTCTATCTTCATCTCCTCCTCCTCCTCCTCCTCCTCCTCCTCCTCTGTTCTCTGCAAATGTTACAACACCAATTGAAATTTCCTCTTTTCTTTCTTTTCTGCGTGCCTTGCAGATCCCTTTGCGTCAGAAGACGAGGAAGAAAAATCAAGGTACTGAGTCTGCTTTGTTCCTCTTTTTGTTTATGTTGATATCTTGCTCGTGTGAAACTGAGGGCTTTTCGAATCAGCTTGTGGTGGTGGCGGTGGTGGCGACTGCTATATCGTACTCTGTTCAGTTTTTGGTTTGATTAAGAGCGGAAAACAATGACATGCTCTTCATTTGTGCTAAACTGCTTTGGTATGTAAATAATGGTCTGTGTGTATCTCTCTCTCTCTGTTTGTATGTGTATGTGAAACAAGCTGTGACAAATAATTCTGAGGCAAATCAGCTTTGAAGGATACTTTAGCCATATATTAATACTTGTTGGAAAGATCTCTAAGAGTAAAAATTAGCAGCTGATTTTCATTGGAAATATATTTCTCATTCTGTGGGATATTTCTAAAAGTGTCACTTTTACTAATTTAACTTGGTGAACTATTCATACCCTGAAAATCCTAGGGTGTATTATTTAAAAGAAAAAAAAAATAGTATTTTGCTTGTTTTGTTTTTTTAAAAAAATGACACTGGTCATATCCTGAAAATCCTAGGGTGTATTTAAAGGAGAAAAAAAATAGTATTTTTGCTTGTTTTGTTTTTTTCAAAAAAGTGACACTTGCTTCTATTTGTACAGGTGTTTACAGCATGAGTCGCCGAAGGATCTCATGTAAGGATCTCGGACTGGCTGATTGTCAGGGATGGCTGTATAAAAAAAAGGAAAAAGGAGGCTTTATTGGCAACAAATGGAAAAAGTTTTGGTGTGTCCTGAAGGCTTCATCATTATATTGGTACAGCAATCAACTGGTAAGAATGTTAATCTCTTCATTTCTATAAATAAATTAAAACAGAATCTTACTTTCCTACAATGAAGTCCTGCCTAAAATTCAACAACATGTATATATATATATAAACATATGGTGCATTTCTGTATCATGTCTGAGGCAATTCAACAATGGTGGGAAAGACACTGTTTTCTGACATGGATAGTGGGGTTGTCTGTTTTTGATGAAAAATATGTAAGTAAACTATATCACCTGTCAGCCAACAGCCAGGGAGTAGTTTGGAGCTTGTAATAAATTCTGTGCAGTCAATCCTATCCACATTCTAGATTTGTAAGGTAGGAAAGGGAAAATGTTATGATTGGAACAGCTACAGATTCTACTTCTTCCCCTCTACCTCTCCATAAGACTGGCAGCAACCTTGCTGGCTTTCTGAACAGCCCTTGAAACATGGTGACATGGCTTGGGGATTAAAAGATAATACAACCTGCTAGATGCCATGCATGCCAACTAATGGAAAGCATCTTAGGGATATTTTATGCTATTTTGTTTTTTTATTTCTTTTACTTTGTTTTTTAATTCAAATTGGTTATTTTAATGTTTTTTATATATTTAGGTTACTATTTTGAATGTGGGATGGGCAGCTAAATCAAACTGATTGAATCAGTCAACAAATGAAAGCTGTGTGTGCTCTTTTTGTCTAACAGTTCTCACTAGCTTGATGCAAATGAACTTATAGATCGACAACCCAAGCAATTTATTTATTGGATACAAGTGTTTATGTCCCACTTTCCTTATACCCATGTACGATTCACAGATGTCCTTTCCATTATTGTTCCAAGATGGCATTTTTTAAATAATTTCAGTTTGTCCTTAATTTTTTGGGAAGTCAACATTGATAAATTAATGTCAGCAAAGTATAACATAAGTAGTTTCCGTTTCTAATACTGTTGTTATGCCAACTGTTTTTTATCTGTCTTCTCCACTCTTCTGGCGTCCTCATAGATTGGATTACAATACCTTTGTAGTCACTGCCCTGTTTGGAGATTATAGGACTTGCGTTTAAATATGGTTAAAATTTTCTTTCCAATACTGCATTCGTAAGAGTAATCTGGCATAACATTTTTTTAAAAAAACTAGTTAGGGAGTTACTTATAATGTCTGGGCCCACAGTAAGCAGGACAAAGCACCATTTCCACAATGTATGATCCATTTGAGTTTCTTATTTGCCTCCAGTCAGTTCAGGGCCACGCATAGGAGCTCAAAAAATTAAGATGGCAAGTGCAATCGAGCTACCATCCTTTTTTCGTATCTAGAAGAGCTATGCAATGAACATTAAAAGAGTTTTTGGTTGTGTGGTTGCATCTGCCATCTTGACTTTGTTGAACCTCCCTGTGGGCCTTCTGAATCAATCTATCTGATGTTAAATCTGCCATGACAGACATGGCATTGGCTTCCTTCCACTAATGTTCTTCAAAAGAAGCTCACTGTTCTTTAAGGATATGGATAATTTACCTATCTATTCATCCATGACTGTCACTTGCACTTTATGAATAACAGCATACAACTAATTAAGTTGGATTAGGCCAAAGACATGAAGCTTCCTTCAGAGAGGGACTTGCTAATGTCCTTGAAAGGAAGCTATACTGATTCCCATTGTTTAAAGAGGTTTCCCCCCTCCCCATTTTTGAAGTAGGAAACTGTGACAGTTATACATAAGTCAAACTCCAAGGTGATACTAGAAATATGGGTCAATTTAAATCTTGGGATTCTAATCTAGTTAGAATACTGAAACAGCTCTTGTTGCCTTCTGGGACTCAGGTGGTCAATGTTATTTTGATATTTTTTAAAAAATAAATTTGACACCGGTATCTCTTTGATCCATTGTAAGGTTTCGTAACTGTGGAGTCCTTGGTGCTCTCAAAGCTTGAGTATTTTCTTGGAGATGTTTTGTTACCAGACTAGATAACATCTTTAGTCCTAGAGAGTTCAGTGCTTGAGGTCCTCCTTGATTAAGAAGTTTATTTTAAGAGAATCCTCCTCTTAATCTATGGATACCATAATATTTTTAATGGTATCCTATTAAACGATAGCATGGGTGGTGTGCATCAAGATTTTGGAGAGGAGTGTGTGGAAATACCACTGTTGTAGATTTTCTGATTAGGTTTGAAGGTATGTAAAGCTGAATTAGACTTTATTACTGGCTTCCTTTTGCCTTTGTTTTAACCCTGTTGTTAAACAAATAGTTTCAATTTTGGTTCACTGCTGCCTCTGAGGTTTTATTGAAAAGAAGAATGAAAATACATTAAATAGACAAAATTAACAACAATTTTTAAGCCTGATCCTAAGAGGGTTGGAGATGTTAATGGGGAAATCAACATTAACATGATATGCTTGTTAAAAATGGAATCATGGTCTTCATTAATGATTAAATGCTCACTTTAGTTGATTCCTATGTTATTCTTGGAGAATATTATTTCTTTTTTTATTAGGATCGAGCATTTAGAAGCTATTTCTATTGAAAAGCTAGAGTGAATTAGTGTATTATAATCTATTTAGAGTTTACCATTAGGATTCAGACTATAGCAAGTCTTATGACCAATAACTCAACACTTCTGAAAGTATCTTGCTCTTTTCCATCCACAGTTTTGTTCCTTACAATCATTTCGTTTTCATTTGTCACCATTGCCATGACATATTTAATCAACAGTCAAACTACAGCTATTATTCCAATGACTATATGCTAACACAGTGGTTCTCAACCTTTTGTCTGTGGACCCTGTGGGGCCACAATGTTGTCACAGGGTGTCCGTAAAGGCTTGAAAAAAATATTATGGTTTAAATCTTGAGTTAATCTTGGTGGTCCATAGCTGTGGCCCATGGCCACAAAAGGTATTTAAAGGGGGTCCATGGTAAAGAAAAGGTTGAGAACCACTGAACAACCACTAACACATAGCCTTCCCCATCCACATCTTACTGAGCTACCATTCCCTACTATTCCCTGCATATTCTGCTTTCAACTCCTGAGAGTTGTTGGCCATCAGTATCTAGAGAGCTACAGATTCTTCACATCTCATGTGACTGATGAGATGATATTGATTTCCACCAAGGATTCCCCAGTGGTATCTCCCAGGCCACTGTGGGAAAAGAATGCTGGACCAGGCTGGACCTGGAAGGCCTTTGGTTTAGTCTAGCATGACTTTTCTTATATTTTCATTGCCCTCTAGCAAGAATGAAAAGAAGAACTCCATCTGCTGTATGTTTTTCCTAATTTATTTATTTATTTAATATCCCACCTTTATTGTTTTTTTATAAATAACTCAACACACACAATACTCCTTCCTAATCCTATTTTCTTCACAACAACAATCCTGTGAGATGATTTGGGCCGAAAGAGAATGACTGGCCCAAAGTCACATAGGGCTCCAGAATACTTTGCACAGCAACAGAATATTTCAGCAATTGCCATTGAGTAAGACAGTGAGCAAGAAATGCATGAATTTGATAAATTTATTATACATTTGTTGATTAGACTACAGAAAGTGTATGATTTATTCATTACCTGTGTTTCTGAACTGCCCTACTCCTCAGAACTCAAGGTGATTTATTAAATATATGATACAATTAATAGGCTGAAATTATAGAACATTTTGTGCTAATGTAGCATTGCAGATTGGTTCCTGAATGTGATAAGAGAGGTATATGCTGGAATTAAACTACCTGCAAGGATAAACAGGATGTGTAGATTCAACACTGAGCAGGGTATGACCACTTGGCTGCTTAAGGGATTGATGTATAAATGTATCAAGGCTGTTTTGATGATATTGCAGACTTTTGGCTAGGTGCATGAATGTACATTTTTGTATGAAGGTAACACTATGTTGTTGGTTGAAAACCTGAAAGATTTGCCATGAATATTAAATTGTATGATGCAAAAAGAAATATGGATCTGAAAATTAATATATCAAAAGCAAAGGTATTTGTAGCTGACAAGAAAAATGGGGTGAATGATTGCATGTTATACCTAAATAGAATATAAACATATTTTTGTGTACTGTGACAGTTTGTTTATTAAAGAGGGAAAAATTGATGGAAAAATGTTAGGATGGGCAAATGATAGTAGAATGGTAGTCGATAATATATAATACATAGTCTGTTCTGAGAAATTATTATTGCCAAAGAAAAATGTATATGTATAAGAATAAAATTTTGCCCACCTAGTTACAAAACATGAGAGCTGGGTATATCAAAAGAAATATAAAAGTAAACTGAATGGAGAGGGAAGTGTCTGTGGTAAACCATGAAGAAAATTAAAGATGGATGAGTGCTGAATTATATAGACTATATATAACATGACTCACAGGTATAAAAAACATGCATTGAAATCGGTTGGTCTATAGACAGAATGAACAAGGGCTGGACTGAAAAGCAAATGCATGAAGAAAATGGAATGAAATGAGAAGAGAGGAAAATGGAATTGGATGGAATTGATGAAATCCTGAAAATCCAGAAGTGAGGAATTTAAAGTTTAAAAGGGAATTAATACATAGATGGGGTAGGAAGAGGGACTGTTTGAAGAGATGAAAGGTGTGGAGAATTATAATGAATATTATTAATTGGCAAACTATTTTTCCCTCCCTTCTTTCCTTTTATTATTTCTTATCTCTTTCCTGTATTCTGCATAATATTGCTTAGCTTAAAAGGGAATGTGATGACTATATATGTATGTAGGAGAAGGCTGGGAATACGGTTTTGGCTGTGGGCTGCTAAGTCTTCAGAGCAGGGGTTTTCCAACTTGGCCCTTTTATGATTTGTTGACTTCAACTCCCAGAATTCCTCAGCATGCTGGCTGAGGAATTCTGGGAGTTGAAGTCAACAAATCATAAAAGGGCCAAGTTTGAAGACCCCTGCTTCAGAGCATTACCACCACAATAAAACTTATATTGTAACTTTACCAGCAGAGAAGTTTGGGGCTGATTTTTTAGACAGTGAAGGCATTCCGAACACTTCAATGATCTTTAAGCACCATTCTGTCATCTATCCAGCCTTTAAAAGTTTGGAACTGAAACACTGATTATTTAATGTTTCCCCCAGGAGGTGCCATGGATGACCGGACTAAAACTGCAACCAAAGGCAATCTTAATCAACAGCTATTTTTACTGAATAGTGAAAAAAAGAGATATTTTGATAATCGAATTTTGTCTGATCATGAAGGCTGTGCAAATAGAAATCATCTAGCTCATGGCTCAGCTTGGAAACCTCTCCCTTTCCCCTCAGCATGGCTGGCCTAGGAATTCTGGGAATTGAAGTCCATGAGTCATAAAACAGCCAAGTTTGCCTACCCCTGACCTAGTTGATCAGATCCACAAGTGATTTTTTCATGAATAAAGTGCAACTAAAAGATCAGCCATCTTACCTAAGAAATGCTTTTATAAATTGAAACATGTGGTGCTCTAAGTACTTAAGGCATCAGTCACATATGCAGACATGTGTCTCTTTCACCTAATAATCACATAGTGGAAAACAATGGATTTCTTTGGTCGTGTGGCTAACCTCGCCTCTCTAAACCCAGCATAAAATAAGGACTTGAAATCAAATAACCTTACAATCATAGAATGATCTTTTATGCACAAGGGAGAGAGGCTGATTATCTGTGAGAAGGAAAAGCTTTTTCCATGAGTGACTGTCAGGGGAAGACCCCAGAGCAAAAAAATAATAATATTGTAGTACTATAAACAGAAATTATGATTTAGGTTTCACTTCCATATGGAAACAGTCAGTTAACTGCCAAGCAGAGACAATTGCTGTGCAGGCATTCACTTTCTTTGTACCATTATCAGATGAAATGTTCTAATAATGCATCCATAATGTGTTTGAATAAGCAAGATAGTTCCAATAATGAGAATGCTTTCTTGAATCAGGTGCCATGTTGAGGTGTTAAATTCCATTGTTATTGGTTATCAGAGATGGGTGACAGCTAGAACCCAAACTCTCTTGATTGAGGAAGACTATGCCCTGTATCCTAGCCATGTTGGCTAGATATAACTTTTGTGTTACAGATAGGGGTAAGTATCTGACCAACATTTCATAGCATTTATTTTTCTTGGGGCTTCCCTATAAACAGGTGACTTCTATTAGTAAGAGTGCACTGGATATAAATACTGCAAGGCTGTTTTGTGTCTCCCTATAAAAGTAGAGTTTTCAAGATCAAAAGCTTTTTCGGCAAGCAGAAATTACAATTGCAACCTAACACTGATTATTTTCTGGGGTTTTTAGGAATATGGTGATTTGTAAACTTCACTATTCTCTGCAATCCTATCCTGACTTCACTTATTCAAATGGATAGTTTAAGTTATAAATGGAAATTTTAGGCAGTATTTGTGGAGATGCAGATGCTTTTGTCACAGAAACGTTCGGTTGCCGGCCATGCCATGCTTGCTTTGTGCTTCTTCAGTATGGGAAGTGATATTTTTATGAAGGAAGAAGACTATTATCTTTGAACAATATCTTTTGTTGCCCAGAGATTCTGGGAAATGTAACTTAGCAACAGCAAATTGGTGCAGTATATCTCCTGTCTGTCAGTAAGCTTCCAGAGAATATAAGTATTAGTTAGGCTTTTACATTAATTCAGCCTACATTTTGCCCTTTCCACACATATTTGCCAATTATACGAGGGCCAATTCTCATTGAATCACACAGGCTGTTAGCAAACTTTAGATTTTGATAAAAGCTAAAATGAATCGTGCAAATTCAGAAAGATTGATTATTGCTATCAGGTTGTTTTTGATTCCTAGCAACCACATGGGTAGACTTTCTCCAGGATGATTTATCCTGTTCATCCGTCATCACTGTAACCGAGTCCATCCACCTTGCTGCTGGTCATCCTTTTCTTTCCTTTCCTTCTGCCTTTACCTGCATTAGATTCTTTCCCAGAGGACTACCTAGGAAATCGAAATGAAAGAGATTCTTTTCAAAAACCCACAAACATGAATTTGAACCCTCCTAAAACATTGTTAGTGATTCAGAATATGTAAAATAATAGAGATACGGATTGCTTTTTATTTATCTCTTTACTTTATGAATCTGATAGGTCAGGAGTATCAAACTCAATTTCATTGAGGCCGCATCAGCATTGCAGTTGCCCTCGGGGGGCTGGGTAGGTGTGGTCAGGGTGGGTGTGGCCTACTGGGTGGGCGTGGATGGAGTGATGTGGCCTACTGGGTGGGCATGGCCAGCTCTACAGGACAGGAGTGGGACAGATCTGAGGGTCTCTGGCAGAAGGGGGTGGGCCAAGGCATGGTCCATTTCTTCATTCCTCGCAAAGGGTGACACTTCCCCAGCATGCACCCAGGGGGCGGGCCCGATACGGCAGGGGCTGATTCCTTGCTGTTTCTAGACGGCCTTGTGGAGCTAAGACTGAATGCGTTTCAGCATAGATGGCCACCACAAAATTGTACATTGGCTCCTGGCCGGCCTGGGCCAGGGCCAGGGCCAAGGCAGCAAGGGCTGTTCCCTCACTGTTTCCAGGATGGCTTTGCGGGCCACATGAAACCACTTTGCGGGCCGCATCCAGCCCCCCGGGCCTTGTATTTGACATGTCTGTGATAGGTGTTTAGCTAACCTGGTGAACCAGATTGTGTAACCAAAGCCAGTGCAAGCAAACTCTTTATATTGGGAAAAATGTCACAATTAGACAAGGAAAGAGAGCTTTGTTACTGATGGATCTACTTTCTAACCACAGTAAATATTTTTACCAAGATTGTCCAACAGTTCTGCATGTTATATTAGCTTATAGTGTAAGCTAATAATTCTCACGAAAGTGAAATTGTGTATCTTGACAAATGCTTGTTCATGTTCTTTTGTTTCTACCAGTGTTCGTTTTACATCCATCTAGCCTAACTCCCCTAACTGACAACAGTGACAGTTTAACAGACTGCATGAAAGGTATTAAATAGTGTTTAGTTCACTAGTACCCAAACCAGTTTTTCTTAACTTTTGTTTGCTAATGGCTTTAGCCAAGGAATGGGCAAGTGATTCATACTCCATTTGCATTTGAAGATAATAAAAATTAATGAACTGATCTTTCTAAAACCTTGCAGGCTTCTTACTTGGTGCCATTTGTGTGAGAAATGCAGCTTTCATAAGTACAAAAATCCACTAGTTTTTCTCCTGGAGGGAAATGAGCATACTCTAATTTAAAGTTTGGAAACAAGGATAATTTCTGCACCTTTCACTAGAAAGATATATGGTCAACGATATATCTTCTTCTTTACTCCCTCTTTTGAAATATCTTAGAAGCAGATCACTTAGTACAATGGTTTTCAACTTGTGGGTTGGGACCCCATTTGGGGTCGAATGACCATTTCACGGGGGTCGCCAAACAATGCAGTCCGCCATTTTTTTCCCCCTTTTCCTTAGCTGTGCTACTCCCTTTTATTCTATTGGCTTTTGAAAGCCAATAGAATAGACTCTATTGAATAGAGTCTAATTCTATTGGCTTTCAAAAGCCAATAGGAATTGTCCAGGCTGTCTCTGCCCTGCTGAGCCCACCAAAAGTCCCATTCTGCAAACGGTGCTGCACCAGTTGAGTAGTCCTCGACTTACGACCGGTTGAGTAGTCCTCGACTTACGAGTGGTTGGGGGTCGCGGCATTAAAAAGGTTGAGAACCACTGACTTAGTAGCTCTCTGATAGTAGGAATGGTATCCACTGTCTTGCATTCAGAAATTCAGCTATTGAATGATGTGCTCATAGGCATCCATGGTAACTTCATATTTAATTGTTTATATTTGTTTTGTTTACACATTAATTGATTTAAATTTCTGCAGTTTTGTCAGAGTACACAGTTAGTTTAGATTTTACAGCTGCCCAGAATCTTATGAACTAGTGAGAGAAAATTAATTACTGTCTTGTCCAATTAAATAACTGTTAACAATTTGAGCATAAGAATGCAGGGAGCAAAGGCCCTGTATATTTCATCTCCTATTTGTTATACACTATAATTATAAATAATTCCTCATAATATACTATGGCTTAACAATTTAGCTCATGTATCTAAAAATATCCTTTCTATAATGTGAACAGTGATATGAAATTCATCAATCTCCAGTATCCAATTTTGATCAATAACATGGCATATACAGTATTAATATATTGTGGATTTTCTCCCTAGGCAGAGAAAGCAGAAGGCTTCCTCAACCTTCCAAACTTCACAGTGGATCAAGCAACAGAATGCAAGAAAAAACAGTAAGTCTATCATTCTGTTTCGGTCCTTGGGAAAGTTACAAATTATTTTGAAGTTACAGTGAATTATGAAGAATAAAGCAGAAGTTGGGATTGAACATTACTTAAAAAGTAATCCATGCAAACCCATGATATTGCTTTATTCTGAAAAAGAACAACACAGTATTACATCTTGATAGACCCCCAAATTTTGTATTTCATTACAATTATTAGAACTTATACATAAGATTTTCCTAGTTTAGTGGTTGTTTTCAACTTTTGACACAGCATGGATTTAAGCTGAAATATAAGTTTGAGATTGCCCAAATCATCCTGAGAGCAGGATCGTCTTAATTCTCTTGAATTAACTGGACATTTTGCCCCACAATTATTATAGTCTTCTGGAATACCTCATGGAACTAGGTTTCAAGGATATTTCACTGTATCGAAATGTTTCTGATTCTTTCATTCAGCCTAACCTTTAGAAAATCTAATATCTTTCACATATATTTTAATTTGTTTGGGAAGTGCGATGAAGATCACACATCCACAGATCAAGACATTCTATTTTGCAGCAGAAAATGTGCAGGAAATGAATATGTAAGTAAACATAAATACCCAACTTCAGTTTCTTTAAGTTAATTGATTGTATTGTTTGATTATTATTTCTACGTAGACTGTTGTCAGAAGTGTCAGTTCAATGACACTAGTCAAGGTGGTGGTCTAGAAACCAGGAGAGTGTGAATTCTAGTCCCATTTAGGCATGAAAATTAACTGGTTGACTTTGGGCCAGACACTTTCTCTCTCAGTCCAACCTACCCCACAGGATTGTTGTGACAAAAATAGGATGAGAAAGGAGTATTATGTATGTTCACTGTATGGAGTTACCTATAAAGTAATAAAGGCAGGATAAAAAATTATAAAAAAATAAAATAAAATAATAAATAACATGTTGGTCCAGAAGATGTCTTTTTTTTCTGCCTTTGGACTCCGTAACTTCCTGATCACATATCTTCACGGCTGAATATAAAATCAAATAAAGACCTTACATCTCTATCTTTTTCTCATCCACTGATCCATGCAAACATATTCAACTCCATCTTTGCTATGCCTGAAAAGTTTCTGAGTAAGATGCATGCAGGAAGATTGCAAACAGGGAAGATTAAACTTCCCCTCTCAGTTCAGGAAACATGTCAGGAAACTGTATAAATGTTTTATATAAATAATAAATAAATGTCAATTGGGATGGAGGAGCCACTTTGCCAGCCTAATTGTATATGGGCTAATGATGGAGAGCTGTCGTCCACTCATTAATGTTCCAATGAGGTCTCCTTTTGTTTCTCCTTTCCCAAGAGACAAGGCTTCAGGGAGGAGTTAGGACCAGTTAGACTGCATCAAGGGTGCAAGCTGGAAGAGCTACTGCTGCTTTATTCTGTTTATACAGCATCCTCCACCTCTGAACCTATATAATGGTTCCAGAGTTAGCAGATCTTGGACAATATTGTCAGGAAGCACAGCTTGGGTGCAAAGCTGGGTGGACTTTAGTAGTATCTAGTATCTAGATTCCAGACTCCTAGGGAATCCAAGGCTGCAGCCTAGGCTAGGAATCCCAAAGAAGATTGTGGGAAATTTGTTGTCAAGAAAACTGTATGATTATACCTCTGAAGCCACCAGAGGTTAGGGTTAGGGTTGGTTGAAGGCCAACTTTGCCTTTATCCTAATATATGGAATACAGTTGGCAGAGCGATTCCTGCTTTTAGAATGTTATGTGCTGAAAACAGCTATCTGTGCATGAAAGCAAATAAGAAATTGAATGTAACCTATACTTGAAGATTTGTTTTGAGATATACAGTAGTGGAAGTCTAAATACTATAAATATCTTCAATTATTTCCCTTTGAGTGAAGATCTTCAATAGGGACTAGGTCTGCTTGATAGGTTTAATTCAGTTTACTTTAATACACATGCTGGTAAATTATCAGTTTAAATGAATGCATATTCGTTTACACTGTTCTAAGACAGACTTCATAGGATATTCCATTCAAATGTATCCCCATTTTAAATTTCAGATGGCTAAATAAATTAGGCGTGGCAGTCCTAGACAAACAGGCTAATAAAAAGAATGAAGAAGGTAAGTTCAAATATCAGCTTTTTACAAGGAATCACTTTGTGCTTTTATATATAAAGACTACTATTTGGAAAAAAATAATAATAGGGAGTTTAAATATTTCATTAGATCAAGATGAATCCTAGGGGAAGGATTTAATCGAGATAACATTTATGACCTATGGATAGTATTGAACAACTTCTAACAATATTTTTCAGGATAGGGACAGGATTTTTCAAGAAGCTTGGTTCTGGGATATGGGAGGACTTGGTTCAGTATGTATTCTTAAACCATCTGACTTGATTTCTATTTGTACCAATATAACAAATGTAGTATTTATCCTTCAGTTTTCATGCTGTGATATCAGCTAAAAAAGGGACAAAATACATATGAACATGCACATTTTAGATTAAAATGTGTGCAAACATTCATTAATAGGATCAAATGAATACAAAATGCTCATTTCAGGTGAAATGTATCAGACTGTATATTTTATGGGCAAATGCACTAACATTATATGAATGGTTGTGTAATATTCATTTTTAAATCACAGCGTGAGGACTTTGCAAGTGCACCGAGCAGATTCAGCAATGAAAAGGTTTAAAATATTAGGCTGTTTCAAAATATATCACTTTCTTTATTCCTAGTCAAGGCTTTTGTGATTGTGCCAGTTCCATCAATCTATGCAGAAGATTCCCAAACCACTAGGGGTCTTGTGGCTACAAACTATTGCTGAATTACACCTCTTAATAGCCCCAGCCAATAAACCTAATGAAGAGGGATGTTTGAATTGCAGTCATAAAATCCCTAAGTTATGAAATCTATACAAAGGCTTTATATATAGCCTTTATATAAGGCTTACATAAACCTTTATGTAAGCCTTTTTCTCTCCTCAAGTAGTAGTCCAATATTAAGGAGGCTGACAATGTGATTTAAGGATAGGCTGTAGCAATATAAACACAGCTTTGCACACTAACCAATTGCTGACTTGTAACACATTTAATTTAACTGCTGAATTAATGTTCTAGATTCACACAATACATTGCACCATCAACTAACCAATCAGAGCAACTTTAAAATTGACCAAGTTTTGCGCATTGTACAAATCATTCACAGATTTGTAAGTGACCTAAAGTTACTCCATTTCTAATAACAGTATTTTTGTCATTGTATTCACAGTAAGCGACCTCTCTTTTATGATGGCCAAAAGAGAACTGGAAAAGGGACCTTTTGTTTGATCATTTTTCTGTCATTTTGGGGGGGATTATAATAGAATTAATGCAAGTTAGTAAAACAAACAAAATTAGCAAGTTCAGTCACTTTAACAGGCTAGTTTTATCTAATACCGTGTCAAAGCCTAGCAAAATTTCACTTCCCTGCTGGGTCTCATCTGAAACATATGATGAAAATGAATGACATATTTCTGGGCATGTTCTTGATAAATGTAAGTATCCCAGATGGCCTGACAAATTTAGCCTGTCCTTGCCTGCTGGCTTTTGCTACTGTAAAATGCAAGTAATTTTCAAAAGGAGAACAGTTTTAGTAGAGAAGAAATTAATCAGTATCTGGATTACTGTGTCTTGTTAGGCAGAGTTTTAAAGACTTAATACCTCAACAAAAGGAAGGGAATCATGCTTTACCTGTCTTCCTCATTTGGTGTCCCCCAGTTATGTGGATTCCAGCTCCTATTATTCGCAATCATTAGCTAGCATGACAAAATATTTGAGGGACCAAGTGGGTGAATACAAGTCTATTCCATTCTTGCTTGTAATCAGAATCTTTATTATAGGCAAAAATATTTTTTAATCATAATATTTTAAAAGAGTCTCCAAGCAATCAAACTAGGCAAAGGAAAGATGCAAATCACATAAAACAAGTAAATAAACAAGCAAATGAAAAGATGTCTGTTAAGAGAACCCCAAACATAAAGAAAAATATTGCTTTTCGCATAAGCTAACTCATTCCTGATGCTTGACTTTTCCTCAATAGATCGCTGCAATCATTCAACTGACTTGAAGAATCTGAAAGATATTTGTGCCATTCCTACTAAACCTTGTTTTTTGTGGGATTTGGTCAGGATGGCTGATGTAGTTCATTAAACTGATTGGATTTAAAGCATAGACGCAATTAAGTGTTGGGCTTTGATTAGATGATGCTAATCTTTTGTTGCACTATATATGATATTTTAGATATTGTCGTCCTATGTAAACCAGGTTGGAGTGTTAAAAAACCCAGGATGGTATCAATGATTGTGTGATTGAAGCCCCAACTCTTTTTAAGCATATGACACAAGTAACACTGAAGAGGCAGTACTTCAGTGATGTCATCAAAGCCACCATCTTGACTTTTCTGATTCCCTCCATGGCTATCCCTAAATACCCATAGCTTTATTTTTCATATTTCCAGTGGAAAGCACTATACTAATAATCTGTTATAACAAACCAGGAGCAGAAATCCAGCAAGCCGTAGTAAAGGTGGAACTATAAAAATAGCATCCTCGGATACGTTAGAAAGTGACCACATTGATTTGCAAAGAAATAATTTGAAAGTGAAATCCAATGTAGAAGGAGCAAAGAAAAAGTGGGATGAAATCAGATTATTGTATAATGTAGATTATCTGTAATTCGGGTCTGGCTAAACTGTGATTTTTGCCAATGAAATAAATGTAGAAAGTCCTTCCTTTTTTCTATTTACTAGGACTTATATATTATTCAATCCAAAGTCTAGTTCATTATAGACTGAACATATGACCAGACTAAATCAAAAAATATGATCTAGATTGATTACCTCATGCTTATCTTTTGGCATACCTAGTTATAATCCCCTAGCTCTACCATTTGCAGTAGTTTGCTAGTAATAAGTTGGCCATGATATTTTTTAGTTCCACTGGAGAGGATTTTTCGTCAATGGTTATCTTCCAAAGAGGTTGAAACTAGAATTTCCATAATTCCTAGTGAGGAATGCTAAGTCATTCCATTCTAAGAGATGCAATCACAATGTTTCTGGTGATTAGAAAGGTAGTATACACAAGGATTTCTTTTGCTCCTGTACAGTGGGATTTTTACATTGCGTTCTTGAATAATTGCATACCTCTTTTGGTGTTTCTTTCCACAAAAGGCTTCATAATTCTATTCTATTCTATTCTATTCTATTCTATTCTATTCTATTCTATTCTATTCTATTCCAATCCAATCCAATCCAATCCAATCCAACCTGAAAGTGGGTACGGGGGAAAAAACAAGAAATTGCTCTTTAGAAAAGTAGTTTGCATTCAAAATTCCCTTTCTGAATGATAGGGTCAGAAACCAATCTGTTCTGCTTTTGATTAAAGTGATCATGAAAACATACTTTCTGCTTTACAGGGCATTAAATAGAATGTCTTCCACATTTTTAATGGTTACAATCTTGTTTCAGAATGCTATAGTGAAAGTGAGCATGAAGATCCAGAAATAAATGCAGAGACACCACCCCCTCCATATTCAGATCAGTTGCTGCTGTCTGATTTGGTATGAATTATAGTAATTAACTTGCTTCCATTTGCTGAATGGCTTGTCCAAATGTCACTCGGTACAGTTTAAAAGATGGCTCCAAGATAAGCAATCCATAGAAAGAGTTGTGAATTGTTTATTCTGTTTAAAGTCAGTCATGTGACAAAATAAATGTTAAGCAAATTACTAGGGCTTTTGTTCCTTTTAAAGTATCACTTATTTTGCACATTTTATACCAGGTTTCATGTAGTTCATCTCCAGGCAGTTTATAATATCAAAGTGCGTTAAAAAAATTAAGACATTGGTCAAGATGGTACAATCAAAGCACTATGCATAAAAGGCGGACTTTTGATCAAACATCAAAGGCTGTCCTGTTAACATTTTTTTTAAAAAAATACTTGCAAGGAATTGAGTGGAAAAGTTTAAAGAACCATCACATAAGCACACCATGGTCCTCTTGCCTTACAACTATTTAATTTATTTATCAAAGAATTAAAAAAACAAAAAGGTCAGGAGCACAACATGGATTTCATGGACTGTAAGTCCCTCTTTTCCAGTCCAGAATAACCCCCTAACACACACACACACACACTGAATTCCCTTTCACAAAGCTGCTGATTTTGCTTTGCCTTCCCCCTCTCCAACAATAGGAACATTGTTGTTGTTTTTGCATTGTGCTTGAGTGTCCCTGCTCCTGCTGGTCTCCCCTTGAGCTGACCCCTGAAAGAGTATTTAAGAGCACCATTAGCAAGCGCAGCTTTCTTTCCCTGTTCTTCTTTCACCATGTTTTCTTTCCTTGGGGAAGAAAAAGTCAAAAACAAATGGACACATTAGGGACTGGGATGTGATGAAGCCCATCCCCCAGAGCATCAGGAAAGGAACAGAAAAATGGCATCTTCGTTTGAAGAAGAGATTAGAGATGACAGGAACTAAGAAGGAGGAAAGAAGATTTTCTACTATTCTCCAACTAACAAAGGAATAGAGTAAGATATTTGGGTTGGGAGCCAATTAGCATCTAAAACAGTGGTTCTCAACCTGTGGGTCGGGACCCCATTTAGGGTCGAACGACCATTTCACGGGGGTCGCCAAACAATGCAGTCCACCATTTTTTTCCCCCTTTTCCTTAGCTGTGCTACTCCCTTTTATTCTATTGGCTTTTGAAAGCCAATAGAATAGACTCTCTTGAATAGAGTCTACTTCTATTGGCTTTCAAAAGCCAATAGGAATTGTCCAGGCTGTCTCTGCCCTGCTGAGCCCGCCAAAAGTCCCATTCTGCAAATGGTGCTGCACCAGTTGAGTAGTCCTTGACTTACGACCGGTTGAGTAGTTCTCGACTTATGACCGGTTGGGGGTCGTGGCATTAAAAAGGTTGAGAACCACTGATCTAAAATGAATTTCTCAACCTCAACAATTTTAATATGTTTGGATCTCAAGCCACAGAATTCCCCAGCAAGTAGGCTGGCTGGGAAATTCTGGGAGTTGAGGTCCACGTATATTAAAATTGTTGAAGATGAGAAATACCAGATATGTGATAGAACATAGAGGCCCTGTATTTTAGCTAGCATTAGTAAGAACTTACCAAAAGCACCACAGTCAGACAAACTTCTCATTCTTGATTTAGAGAATAAGCCTTTCAAAATATCATCTTCTGGAAAAGTGCACTTAATTATTTTGGTTCCAGTGAGAGAGAAATGTGGTTTGAAAACTCTATGGTTCCTTTTTAAAAATAAATGTAATATATCTGAGACAGATTCTACGAAAGCTTTGAGGATTAAAATGATTTGAGCTGCCTCATTGTTTATCCTGAATAATGGTTCCACGTAATTCAGACAGCCCAGTTTCTAGCTGTTATCCCCAAACTATGACTTCTAAATATTCACCAGTGAGGCATTTTACATATAATTAATGGCCTTTTGCTGAGGGATGGAGGGATGCCTGGCTCATCCAGGTTTTAGCTTTGTCAAGTCTGCAAATATCAAATCAGGAATTATGTTATTAGAACAGAAGGCCATGCGATTGCCAATGTTTTCTCCTAATGGGTTTCTGCTGTTTTAGTAAGATAAGGCAATTCTTTCCAACTGCCTCCAAACCAATTCTGTGGTGCAGAATAAGTGCATGTGCGCACCCACATACACAAGTGTGCACACGTACATACACGCCTATGCATGACTGGGTAGAAAAAAATAAATTTAATTAATCACATTTTTTCTACTTTATGATAAAAAAGTCTGTAATTCTGAAAACCTTCTTACCAGAGGAAAAGGCGGTTCTTGCCTGTTTTGTCTTTTATCCTGCTGCATTCCTATATTATTCTAAGAGGCCCTCCAGCCTTCGGGACAGATTTTTTGCATGGGGAAAAAAATGTGCAGGTTGTCCTTGACTTACGATCACAATTGAGCCCAACATTTCTGTTGTTAAGTGAAACATTTGTTAAGAGGGTTTTGCCCATTTTACAACTTTTCTTGCCACAGTTGTTCAGTGAACCACCGAAATTGTTAAGCTAGTAACACGGTTGTTAAGTAAATCTGGCTTCCCCATTGACTTTGCTTGTCCTAAGGCAGGGGTCTTCAAACTTGGCCCTTTTATGACTTGCGGACTTCAATCCCAGAATTCCTCAGCCAGCGTGCACGCTGGCTGAGGAATTCTGGGAGTTGAAGTCCACAAGTCGTAAAAGGGCCAAGTTTGAAGACCTCTGTCCTAAGGTCACAGAAGGTGAGTACATGACCCAAGACACTGCAACTGTCATAAATATGAACTAGTTCCCAAGCATCCAAATTTTGATCACATGACCACAGAGATGCTGCAAAGTGAAAAATGGTCAAGCCCACTTTTTCCCACCCTGTTGTAACTTCAAACCGTCACTAAATAAACTGTTGCAAGTCAAGGACTACTTGTACCAATACAAAAGAAATCATCTTTCCCTTGAGAAGAACATTTCCTATGGAAACTCTGGGCCTAAAAACCTGAAAAATACTCTCTAAAAATGACGGGTAAATACCAGTGTAAAGAATGGTGGCCAACCAATTCTTGAATAAGCCCCAAACTTAACAAGGGGCCTGTTAAAGGAGATGAATGTCTTTCTGGGTCAAAGTGCTTAGAGCAGACATGTCAACCACAAGGCCTGGGGGCCGGATATGGCCCGCGAAGTAATTTCATGTGGCCCGCGAAGCCATCCTGGAAACAGTGAGGGAACAGCCCCCGCTGCCTTGACCCTGGGCCAGGCTGGTCAGGAGGGAGCCAATGTACAATTTTGTCGTGGCCATCTATGCAGAAACGCATTTAGTCTTAGCTCCATAACAACCCCCCCTGCATGGTCTGAGAGGAACAATGAGGCTCCTCCAATGGACCATACCTTGGCACTTGCCCTGGTCCCACCCCCTTCTGCCAGAGACCCTCAGATCTATCCCACTCTTGAGCAGGCCCCCACAGGCACCCTTGAAGCGAACAATGTAGAGCTGGCTACGCCCACTCAGTAGGCCACACCCACCCTAGTCACACCCACTCGGCCCCCTGAGGGCAACTACAATGCTGATGCGGGCGTCAATGAATTTGAGTTTGACACCCCTGGCTTAGAGTCACACCATACATGTAAATGAGGCTGGATATTTTTTGTCCATTTTCTAGGAATGGGGGTATTATTTTTCTGGGTTTTAAAAATGTGTTAAACCTAGCTCAGGATTAATATTGTAGTTTTCATCTGTCTTCTGTCTCAGAACTGGGGCAAGAGGGGGGATTGGCTCAGCTGAGACCACAGACTACAGTTGTCTGCAGAAGTTTTAGAAGTAGTCCTAAGTTCCAGACATCTAGCTATCCAAGGAGCTGTATGAAAGCGAATTTATTGATTCTTGGCAATAACAACAATACAATCTTTCCCCTTTTTGTTTTTAATTTGTTCTGGAAAACAGGCCCGACAAGAGCTTTCCTCAGCATCACATCTTTTAAATGAAGTACCACATTCCTTATCTTCCCCAGAAAGCAGTTCAATGAAAACCCAAGGCTCGTCTTCCTCATTGTGCAACCTGTTGCAGTCGGAGAGGCAGTCATGGCTTGACTTAATTAGCAGCTCTTCTGCTCAAGGAGAAGTGGACAATCAACCTCCAGCTGCTTGTGGTAACTCTGCAATTACTGATTGCCAGTTGACAGACTATAATGAAACAGTGGAAAGTTTCAGATCTGAGGAAAACATTCAGAATACAGCGAATGAAGACAGATCTTCATTAGACAATGCAGATAATAACTTAGCTGTACCTGGAAAAATAGCATCAGCAGCTGTAAGTAAAGGTGAGTAAAACAAAAAGCTACCATATACATTGTTCTAGTATCTCCTCCATTTTTGCTTTTAATCCAGCTTTTAAATCAAAATTGTCTTACAAAACTAGAAGGCAGTGTGAAAACACAATACAGGTAGTCCTTTCGTAACAACCGCTCACTCAGTGACATTTGAAACTATGATGGACCTGTCCCTACAAGGCATTTACAATCCAGTTCTGGAGTTCCAAAGATGCTCCCCCCCATCCCATAATCATGTATTCACATGTGGGCACTTGGCAATTGGCCCATATTGACATTTGCAGCATTCTACATGAGTTACATGAGCCTGCAGGAGCCCTGATGGTGCAGTGGTTAGAATGCAGTATTGCAGGCTAACTCTGCCCACAGGCTGGACTTTGATCCTGATGGGGCTTGAGGGTGGCTCGGCCTTCCATCCTTCCAAGGCTGATAAAATGAGGACCTAGATAGTTGGGGGCAATATTTTAAACTGTCCAGAAAGTGTGTAAAGCATTATGGGACAGTACATAAGTTTAAATGCTAGTGCTATTTCTATTGCACGATCATGATATTCAGCCGTTTTTGCTGGTTTCTGGTCTTCTGATTTCTGGTAAAAAAACTGACCATTGAAAAAATGGGTTTGTTTAACAACCACCACATTTGCTTAACAACCATCCATAAAAAGATCATAAAATTGAGTACGATCAAGGTGTGACCTGCTTAACAACTCCTACGACCTATGGCTGTAATTTCAGGCTCAGTTGTAGCTGTAAGTCAAGGGCTGCCTGCAAAAGTGATGACAAATAAAAAAGAAAGCATTGGTAAGCATTAGAAATACTTAATGTGGGTAGGAAGACAAGATAGATATCGAAATAAAAATAAACGCTTCCAAGAATGCACATTATTTTACTTGAAGGAAAGTGTTGGACAAAGCTTCTTCCCAGGAGGTGATTTAATATCTGAGTCATTGCAGTTGAAAATTTTTTCTCTGGTTAGAAGTAGGCAGATACCCTATAAAATTGTTTTATTGAAATAGTGTCCAGGACTCTTGAACTTTCAAAATCCAGGTAACTGGATGTTTTTCCAATCATTTTGAAAAATAGCCACCACATATATTGCAATTCAGCCAAGATCCAAATCCTTTGGCTTCTGAGTTAAGAAAAGAGTTATACCTATTATCTGGAAAGAAAGTGCTCTCCTTGAGTTTTGAGGACCTGGCTTTTATTCAGGCCTGAAGCTAAACCAAATTACTCACTTTCCCCAAGACATTTGCAGTTGGATGTACAGATATATTTAAAATAAGCCAATGATCAAGGGCCATTTCACTTTGATTTCAGACCAAGATAAAGCACCAAAACTGCTTTGGTTGCCCAGACTGGCTGTTTTAATTGGAGGAGACATGGGAAGAAAGCTATTGTTTGTGTGTAATCCTAGATTTTTATATTAATACAATTCCCAAGTGATGGTATATATTGGAATTTTCAGGGATGTTCTTTTTCTATTTAGAATAAACTTGTACATGTATGCATAACTCCAGTCTATATAAATAAAGTGGGCTGAGTCAATCCAGATGCTGCTTCTGCCACACAGCTGCATTTCAACTCTCAGTTTAACAATTCTTAACAACATGCCAAATTCATTGAAATTCCTATTGCAATATATTTGCTATATATACACTAGATTCTTGACTTTAAAATAACTTGGTTTAGCAGACTTCAAATATAAACTTTTCCTCTAGTCATCCAGTTAAAATAATGAAAAATTGCAGCATAGACTGTTTACATTAATCAGGGATTTAATGGTCATTCATGATGAAGGTACACTTCTGCCTTCTGAATAGACTGTTTAAACTGAGGGTTTACTGCATTTTTGTACAAGAGATAACAGAATCTTGATAGATGCTTATTCTGTTGGGAAGCCTTAACTGGTTTCTTGTAGAATACAATCATTTGCATGTTTTCTTCTGAAAGAAAAAGGTGTGAATTGGTTTTAGAAGCAGGAAATGAGATAGAGTTTCACACTATTGAATGTCCCTTTTTTAAACTTAAAATTCAAATGTTTGCATGTATTAAAATGCATACTTTTTAATTTTTTACATATGGTAATTAATACTTACAAATCTTTATGTGGCCTCTATTATTTCTTTCTGTGGAAGGAAATGCATGCTTTTTAATACGTGCAAACATTTATGTAGCCTCTCTTATTTCCTTCTCTGGAAGGAAATACTGGACAAATGGCTAGAGAGAAAGAGGGTAAATCAGTCTGCCATGATTGACTACCTATCTTTATTAAAAGAAGAAAACAATAGCAAAGTAGTAGCACAATATAAAAATAACCAGAATTCCCAGTTGCACATTGTTTGACTTTAAAACTGTAAAACTATAAACTATAGTCAGAGGGTGCTTCTAATCCAAAGAACAGGTAGACAGAAGCAACAACTAGTTGTTGTCATTTTTCTTTCATTTGATGGGAGCCTCATATGCTTGGTTTTAACAGGAGGCTATGAAAACTAATAATAATGAAGAGGAAATTGTAGAAAATGAACACAGCTACAACAGAATGAACCTTATTTATGTTGTATTGTTTGTCTGTGATAGCAATAACACCCTCTTTTCTGAGATATTTATAGACCCTTTGCAGTCAATTGTTATAGGAGAATCAGGTCTAATGCATTTTATGTTCAATCATTTTTACTGCCTTCTTAGGATATATCTATACTTGGTAGGGAATGACTTTAGACAATTCTAACACCTGATTTTCAGAAATTACTGGATTTAGGCAAGATAGACAGAAGCTTCTAGCACTTCTGAAATGCAGAAGGATGGCAGTAGTGGTTTAATATATTTACAAATTAAGGATGGCTCTTCTATGCAAGTGGGATATCATCCTGGTATTTCATTTGAAAAAAAAATAATAATTGTGGCCAAAACATTTTCCTTGTATCACTTGAGTGATAAGGGCACTTGCTGAAGGCCTAAAGGAAAAAGTGGAAATAAATTAAATTGATCTAAAGTCAGCCAATTCTAGAAATCCTTAGAGCAGTGTTTCTCAACCTTGACAATTTTAAGGCATGTGGACTTCAACTCCCAGAATTGCACAACCAGCATTGCTGGCTGTGGAATTCTGGGAGTTGAAGTCCACATGCCTTAAAATTGTCAAGGTTGAGAAACACTGCCTTAGAGGGTCACTAGAAACCCTCAAAAAGCATGTTGGAGTAATGTTGTTTTAATACTTTTGCACATTTTCAGTAGGGAATTGGCTGCTTGAATATCTAGAAGAAAAGCATTCCAAAGTACAGAGATCAGAGTCACCTAGATTTCATGAGATTTTGGTGAGATCTTTATAAGAATTCCAGTTGAAAAGAAGGCTTTAGTATATCAATGTCATCTACTCCCTTTTGGAGGATTCCAGAGATCTTTGAAAGAAATTAAGATGATCGATTAGGTCTTATTAGAGAATAAGACCTAAAAAAAACTTAGTATACTTCAGATAAAGACAGTGGACCATATAGGTTCCAAAGATAACTGCCTCCTCAGTTCTTTAACTCTGAATTTTGGACAGATGTTCAGTAAAAGTTGAAATTAACATCATGCAGAGACATTCTACAATTTTTTTCTACCTATTTTCATTCAAGCTGTGGAGATAAAAATTGCCTGACTGGCTCTTGCTTAATTAATTATAGCTTACATTGGATTTTTCCTACAACAAACTGAGTCACATTTAATGAGGTGATGAGTCAGAAAGAGACACTACAATAGCATATTGGCTCTTGTAATAGGCTAGTCTGCTAGAGTCCAGGCATTTTCTTCAGCATTGGGCTAAAGTAGTAACCTAAATTTAGCCTTTATCCAAGGACAATTATGGCATGTTTATACTTGCATAATTCTATAAAATAAATGAATATTTAATTACACATGTTTGAGGTGCACCATAATATAACATTGCTGCTAAAAATGAAATAGTTGACCCTGTACAGTCATATGCCCAGTTATGCTGCTAGGTGGAGAAAATGTTCCCTACGAAGGAGCTGCTCCGGACATTTCAATCATAAGTTGCTGGAATAGAGACATCCATCATTAATATATCATTTCTGATATGTGTACATTTTGGCTATTGCACCTGGAATCTTGAGTCCTGTTTTTTAGAATTCTTCATATAGTATATCAACAGATCAACTCATGGATGAGAATGTCAAAATAGTTCATATTGTATATTACTTTTTTTCCCCTAATTCCCTCCAGACCACCAGAAGTAGCACTCTCCCATTCACCGAACATGCTTTACTTAAAAAAAATCGAGTTCACCTGCACTCTATCACGGAATCCTCTCTTTTTATCTCCCATGCAGATCGTATCAAATCTTCTGTGGATGAAATGGAGAAACTGTACAAGTCTTTAGAGCAAGCAAGTTTATCTCCCATTGGGGACCGGCGACCTTCTACTAAGAAAGAGTTGAGAAAGTCCTTTATCAAAAGGAGTAAAAACCCTTCTGTAAATGAGAAACTTCATAAAATCCGAGCTCTGAATAGTACCTTAAAGGTAAAGGTTGATGGAGGAGAGAGGTTCTAGCTGTTTTGGATTGGGGGGGAGGAGGGGGAAAGCCTTTTGGATGTATTCATATGAACAGCTTAATTAGACTAGTAAAAACAGCTATGGTTGCATTCACCTGATGGACTGCATGTAGTTAATTTTAGTTTTAGTTAGTGATATGTGCATGCATATATGATTATAGCTTAGCTTTTTGTACAAACCCAGCCCATTTAGTCAATCTGCAATGCAATACATTATTCAGATAATGCAAATGTAACTATTACAACCAGTTGGATGTTTAGCAATTGTTAAAAATATTTTTCTATATCGTGAAATGATTATTTTTTAAAAACAAGGGAACTAATTAGTAATTATGAGATATAGTTTTCTTTTTTAAAAAAGTGAGAAGTCTAGGCAGTGCTTTTTTTGTAAAAAAAAAAAAAAGGTGTCAGAACTCACACATGTCATACAATCCACCTTGCCTACCCTACAATGTTCCATCCAAAAAAGGTGCTGGAACTCCGTTCTGGGTGTTCTATGACAAAAAAAGGCCTGACTCTAGGAGACGTGACATTTAAGAGACAGTTTTCTCAGTTTTGTTGGGTATATACACAAGAAGACTTGGATCATTTATCTGTCCCAATGTCTACGTCTAGTAACTTGTTTTTAATTCTTGTGTTGACTAGTGCAAAGAACATGACTTGGCCATGATAAACCAGCTGCTGGAGGATCATCAGCTAACAGCAAACAAGTATAGAGAGTGGAAGAATACAAACTCCATTTTGATTCAAGATATCTACCAGCCACCAGCCGGTCTGACTACAACTGAAGGAGAGAACACAGAATCAGAAATGACCACACAGTCATCTTGCATTGGATGATTAGTATTCAATGGAAATACTATTTGAAGACAGTGAATTTTCCATCACTGATCTCTTCAGTCATTCAGTTTAAACTGCCACATCTTCAGGTTTTGCTTCCATTGGTACTGGTACTTTTTGTACTGGAACAGAGCAGCCTTGGATTAACCAATAAGCAAGATAAGCACATGCTTAGGGTACCAAGGAAGGGGGGCACAGTAGAGTTTTTTCTCCTAGTGATCATGCCTTTAATTTGTTCACTGCCACACTCAACTTTAGTTTTCAGCACTTACTGAGTCTTAATATATTGTCAATTAAGCAATGGAAAAGTTGAGGAGCAGCATTGGGTTTAGATCAGGGATGTCAAACCGCCGGCCCACGGGCCGGATATGTCATGCCAAAACTGTACCCACCCCATTGCTGGCAATGGAGAAAATGTCACAATACGTTGCAACACATCATATGACGTTGCGAGTTTGACACCCCTAATTTAGAGCATCAACTGACCTTAATTTGGCCCTGGAACACAGAGTTTGTTGCCCAGAGCATGACTTTTCCTTTCCATTTTCCATGAAGATAGGAAAAATCTCCTCTAATGATCACATCACGATGCAACTCTTGTTACAGTTCTAAGAAGAACATTTATCTGGTGGGTGAGAATTGGGATTCTGTTTTGTAAAATCAGTCAACTTTGCTATAAGTATAATATTTTAGGAAATACATTTCTTGGTTTTCTGAATGTAGGGTATATACACAAGAAGACGGGTCATTTTAAATTTGGTTGAGAGAGTAGCAGAACATTTTAGGCTGGAAAAAAACTACCAGGGTACGAATTATACAAAATGCACAATTTTGCCACAGCTTATCAATGCTTTAATTGTTTCTGCTGACGGACTGTTTTTAGTCACAGAAGAAATAAATAAAAGAAGGTTGGTGTTTGTATTCTGTATAGCCTTCTCATGATCTATTCAAAGGATACAGTTTCAGTCATAATATCTTCAGGTTTATGAAAAAATCCATTTATCATATCAGCGAAATTGTATTTGAACTGTTTTTTATGAGCAAATAAATTCATTGGCCAAAATGTATGTATCCGTCTTTCCTCAATGTTTTATGGAGCATAAACCAAACTGTAAATGAAAACAAGTACAAAACACAGATATAAAAGCTTTACTTCTGCTTTTTGTGAAAATGTAGATATTTTTTTCAGTGGCTGATCTCAAAAAGCTAAGCCAAACCTGAATTGTCCTTGGATAGAAGATCATGAGGAAAGTCTAGTGGTATAAATTAGATTTAGAAACCAAAAGATCAGCCCACAGATAGGCAATGGCCGGTTTTCTGCAGGTTTTGTTATAGCTGCTACTTACTGGTAAAATGACTTTGGGATGATCCTGTGTGAGACAACAAATACGTGCCGAGGTTTGTATTTGTTGCCATGAAAACTGCTTAGATATAGCAATAACAATAGCACTTAGACTTATATACCGCTTCACAGTGCTTTACAGCCCTCTCTAAGCAGTTACAGAGTCAGCATATTGCCCTCAATGATCCGGGTCCTCATTTTAATGGCCTCAGAAGGATGGAAGGTTGAGTCAACCTTGAGCAGGTGAGAATCGAATTGCTGGTAGTCAGCAGAATTAGCCTGCAATACTGCATTCAAACCACTATACCAGCATGTCTCTTAAAACCCAATACATATGACAGGCATGACTTGACAGTTCTTCTCAAATTTGAATCCTTTCCGATTTGCATGCATACATATATCTTTAGTACATTTTTTGGGCTGGATGACATTGAAGCAAGTCAACATTCCATCTAAACAAAGCCTAGCACTTCAATATTGCCTTTTTTTTCTTTCAGGGAGTCCTTATAAAAATGAACACAATTGGTCACTGAGCTTACACTACTGTTTTGCATTTTGCAGTTCTCTTTCTGATCCCCAGTCCCCTGTTTGAAATCAGTCCTAATTTTAGACGTGCACAAATGGTTAAATCATGGCCACTAATCAAGGAAAAGCAACATTTTTATCTGGTGAAAATGTCTACTGCTTTTGGAAAATTAGAGCATGCAGCTATATATTTATTCGTTTCAATGTTTGGTTTGAAGTGAAGTGATTTCAGTGAAAATCCTACCATTGCCACACCACCCCACCAAGCCCCCAAACCAATTTGTACAAGTGCTTGAACTCATAGTCACTGTTTCATGGTTGAATGTTTCTTCCTTCTCCCTGAATTAGTGAGATGATAGCATCTAGACTGCAGGTTTGCCATGAGCAGAATAATACCCTGATATAAAATTTGTAAATGAATAGTATGCGTCAAACTAGCCAAATCTGGAGACAGGCAATAGCATGGTTGATTTACAAGATAGAAGGGCGCACTCTGGTAAAGAAAGCCCCACCAAAGATTTAATGTTAATAATTTATTTATTTATTTATTTATGAGACTTATATACCGCTTTAAGTGCAAGCACTCTCTAAGCGGTGTACACTAGTAAGCAATGTATATATATATATATTTACATTGCCCCCAACAATCTGGGTCCTCATTTTACCTACCCCGGAAGGACGGAAGGCTGAGTCAACCTTGAGCCGGTGAGATTTGAACCGCTGACTTGCTGAACACAGTCAGCTAAAGTGGCCTGCAGTACTGCACTCTAACTGCTGCACCACCTCGATATGAACCTTGGAGTTTATTATTTACTTATTAATCAAATTTGTACAGGTATATAGGCAGGTAATCCATTTGGCCTTCCCCAACCTTTTGCCTGCCAAAGTTCCTGGTAAGTTTCTTAATGTGTGAGTGGATGGCCATAAAAATTGAGAAGTTTACCATTTTGAACAGTTTTTTAAAAAACCCTTATATTCATGCTATGCGGGTTTTCCTTTATATCAGGGGTCCCCAACCCCTGATCCATGGACCAGTACTGGGCTGCGGCATGCAAACAACCGGTCTGCACAAACAAGGAAAGCCCCATCCACAGGATGCAGGCAGCACACAAAACCATGCCCCCTCCAGTCCACAGAAAAACTTTTCTGCACGTAACCAGTCCTTGGGGACCTCTGCTTTATAGGATGGGTGAACTTTCTAACAACAGGAAGATGTTCTGTGGTTTCTATTATTGTGGCGTGAGCCTGCCCTAAGAACAAGAAAGGAAACTAGTAAAGAAATAAATTAAATTAAAAAAATGGTTCTGTATTGGCCAATCTAATGCCCATATTCAGAATCCTAAGAGTTGAGTTGAATTGTTATGACTCTGTTGGTTGCAGCACCTGCTGCCTCCCAGAAAGTGTGTTACTGGCACACAATTGCCAAGTTAAGCCTTGTGACCAAGCTGAAAATTAAGGGAATGCTTGTGCAGAACAGCTGCAGGTTTGAACGTTTAAGCATGTAGGGTGGGATTTATGCATCCCCTTGCATATAACAGTATCCAATGGGGACCTGTTTTCTGGAGCCCAATATACTCTCAACAATATTCTGGAAGAAAAGTTACTAATGGCTTCTATTTCTGCTGCTCCGCACTTTAGATGTGAAGTGCACTGCTGAAATATTTTAAACTGAACACAAGAACATGATAATACAGTTTCAGAACAATGGCATGTGGCCTGATCTTGAGGGATGACTGCAACCATCCTAAAAAGGATGGACTCAGTAAGTTTAACTTCTTAAGTACAAATGCAGCCAATATCTGCCTAAAGCAAAGTCACTTAAAAATACTTTCTCTGAAACTAAGGTTTGCTAAAAGATTGATCATGTGTCAATTCTATGTAGGATTATATGATTACAGTCTCCAAAGTACATGATTAATAGATATGGAATTCTTTCTTTCTTATCCTAACTTCAATGTAGCCTGAATTCATCACCGTTTTGGATGAATGATGTGATATCTATGACAGAAAAAAATAAATCCCCATCTTTAAAAAATAGGCAAATTCTTTTGCAGAGGAAAAAATGTATTTCCCATCATTGCCATCACCCCCATCTCCTTTAGGAAAGAATCCAATTTATTTATTTCAAACTAAGCCACATGTAAGTTTCAGCTGCATGTAAGGCTATGAAACGGATGAAACTGGTACATGAGTGCAACCTTGTGGCTTTTCAGGGAGTTACAAGCTTCAATTACTGCATTTTTTTATCCTGTATTACTTTTTTTTTTGAAATTTGAATACTATTTAGTCACTTGAAGATGGTAACACCATAATTTAGTTAGAATTGCATACATTTTGAGGTCTCTCTCTTTTCTATCACCTTTTCTCTCTCTCTCTCATCTATCTATCTATCTATCTATCTATCTATCTATCTATCTATCTATCTATCTATCTATCTATCATCTTTCTCTCATTAATCTATCATCTACCTATCATCTATCTATAATCATCTCTTTCTCTCTCATCTATCTCTTTCTCCTCTCTCTCATCTATTGTCATCACATACCAAAGGAACGGGATACATGTATTTCTCAGAAAAATAATAATTTATTTAGCTGTAAGGCACTCTGCTTGAACAAAGTAGTATCCACTATAAGGAAAATCAAAAGAAAAAAAGAGTTCAAGAAACAAAAGAAAATTGGCTGAAAACAAATGGGAAGAGAAAATATATATATATTGGATCTTGCCTCAGTACAAAATCATTCTACCCTTTGTTTAAAATCATAAGTTCAAATCCAACGGTACATGCAATAGTCGGGCCACAATTTTTCATGCTTAGGCAATGTCATTAACATTTCTCTTCCATTGTTTTCTTTTCTAGTACCATAAATTAGCAAAAGAGCTGGCAGGTAGGCAGGCTGACACTCTGTCTAGCTATGCATTTTATCCACTGTTCTCAATAGAAAGACACTTCATTAAAATGGCTTGTTTGTAGAGCACAGGGTTGACCATAGGAACCACCAGCAGTTTTTTTTTTACCCCCAAAGGCATTCCAGAGCTCACTGCAGCCCCTTAAAGGATAGAGAACCAAGTTTTGGTTTTCTGAAAATTGGAATTTAAGAGGCAAGATGAGTGCCTTAACCCTTGCAGAGATTAACTCCCCATCATCCCCTGCAGCCTCCCACTGGAGCATTTTCCTCACTGTAGAATTTTGAGGAGCTTAAAGGGGAAATGTTTAATTCTTTACTTTTTTATCTTTTAAAATTCTAATACTCCCTCAAAGAGCAAAAATGTGGCTACACCTGTTAAAACTATAGAAGGACAAATCCAGTGTGATACACCAAAGAATAACAAAGGATACAAAATATAGTTGTGCCCAAGAATCCCTGTTTTGACATGTTTCCATGTGGGACAATCCATTCTAAGTGGTTAGGATCAAGGCAAATTGTGAATGAATTTATTTTGAGAATATAGCTTTCTTCAATTCGGGAGCTCACCATACAGGGAAATCCAAAGAAATGTAGCTTTGCCTGACTTTTCATAGAAGTATTGTACTGTATAAATATCTTGAACCTGATGCCTCCAGATATTTGGGAATTCAGTGACTATTTTTTCCATTCTATTTGCATCTGACTCTTGAAAAATGAAACGTGAGTATATAGTTGATGCAGAGACCATCAAAACTCAGGAACTGAGGAACGTGTCTTGATCAATAGCTGCTGACAACATGACATATAACCTATTGACTGACCCTGCAAAACTTTAAGCATTTCACAGCTTAGTAGTTTAGCACTTAGAAGTGTTCTGTTAGCAAGCTTCATTTCATTCACACATATCAGGCAGACCATTATCTAAACTACTTTTTCAGACTTGGCAACTTTAAGATGTGTGAAAGGCAACTCCCAGAATTCCCCAGCCAGCACCTTTCTCAGCTACTTTTGCTACTTTAAATCAACTAGATTAATTTAAAACCTAGTGGCAGCATTCATACTGCATGCTTATTGCAATTGGTTACTTTTAGCCTTTGGTAAATTCTTTGAAGATTTGACTTTGAAGATATGCACATTATGATTTAATACACTGTGCAAACTTGAAAAACAAATCGAAGGCATTGGATGAACTTACCTATAGAAATATTCTGTTTAGCATCAAAATTTTTGTTCTGACTGCTATGAGAAATTTATCTACAATAGTTCAAATGTCAAATATTGGGGGGG